ATACTATATGTTGGAGTAAACAAACTTGGCCACTCCATTTTCTTACTTGCATTCTAATGAAAGTAACTTATTAGCTAAATTTATTGGCTTCACAAATACCACTTACTCTATTCTAGATTCTTATTTGAAAAATTAAATTTCCTTTTTAGTTTTTAGAGATTATGATCCACTATTAACCCAATCACCTCTAGGTTTATGTTCTGTCCCCTGTGTATTTTTGTGAATGTTGTTATAACAAATGGCTCCACTTGTGCTCAGCCAGCAAGGAGTCTATCAGTACCTCTAGTGACTGATTTCCCCATTCCTTGAATTGACGGGAAAATGTGTTTTTCTTTTAAATACAGTTGATATTGATACTATTATTATTGTTATTGATGTTATGATTATTAAATTCTAATTGAAATCTCAGTAACATTTAAGACAACAAAATAATGCAGAAGACCCTTTCAAAAAGTCGAGGAAAAGGGTAAACAGGTGAGATAGGTAGGACTAATAACTTACTCCTTGGTGACTAAGCACTTATAGAGCCATCTATGTGTAAATACAATAAATAGACTTGTATTACATTGGGCATGGCACGTATTCTTGCCATACAGATTGGGTTAACCCATTGAGTGTTGGTGGCAAGACTACAATGCCATGCCAACTGTAATAAAAGTTTTATCTTTTGTTTTTACACATAGATGACTCTGTAAGTGCTTAGTCACCAAGGAGTCAGCTATTAGTCTTACCTATCTCATCTGTTTACCCTTTTCCTTCATTTTTTTAAAGCTTAGCTTCAATTATTTTATTGTGTTTGATGTTATTAATATTTTGATGACAATCTAATAATCAAAATATCAGTAAGAATGATAACAATGTCAATATTAATAGTATTGAAAAGAAAAATGCATTTTCCCCCTAATTCAAGGAATGGGGAAATCAGTATCAGTCACTAGGGCCAACTGATAGACTCCTTACTGCTGAGCACACGTGGAGCCATGTAACAAAACTCACTGAAATTTAAAGGGGGCAGTACATAAACCCCCTGACATTGGGTTTAAAGTAATCATTTTTAAGCCATAATTCTTTTTTGTTTTTGGTTTGCTAGTTATTATTTATTTGAAACTCAACCCATTACCACTGGGGATGTCATGTATGTACATGCCACATCCAGTCTGAGCTTAGCTTATTAATTGTCTTTACATACAGGTGGCTCCAAAAGCACAAAGTCCCCAATGAGCCAACTATGAGTACTAACTATCACACCTGTTTACCCTTTTCTTAGATTTTCCTGAATATTTTTTGGCATTTTATATTGCTGTTAGTAATGTTAATAAACAACCTTATAATAATTATAATGTCTATAATAATAATAACAGCATTGATATTGATAACATTAATTAAAAAACATTTTCCCACAAACTCAAGGAAAGGTGAAATCAGGTGAGGTTACAAGGTCTACCAATTGACTCCTTTATGCTAAGTACTTCTGGAGCCATCTAAGTGCAGAGACTTGACAAAACAATACTACAGTGAACACTACATTTTCATGGCAACATGGGGTTACAACGTAGTTCTTTATTATTCAGTATTAACGTATACTGTATGCATATTCAGTTTGTAGAATTATTGATAAATCTAACAAATTTTTCACTTTAAATTCTTTTTAGTTGAGAATAGCTCTTTAGTACATCAGTACAAAGCTTACTTATACTCTTCAGGTGAAAAATCGTTCAAGACAGCTGACAGAGTTATTCCAGTCATATAGACCATATGATCATAAATTGGGAGAAAAGCAGACTGTCCTAGTAACTGAAGAAGCTCATGACAAGGAACACTGGGTTGGACACAATAAGTTTTATGAGCAGGTACGATTTCTTTTGTTTTTACCATTAATTTGTTTTATGTGTAGTAACCTAATTTCTTTGTTAGAGGTAAAATTGTTTAGTTTAATAAAAAAAAGAAATAAGGAAAATAAAGATGAGAAGTGGAAATGTGTAATTTTTATGTGAAAATATGTAACTTTAACAGAATATGAGCTATTGCTTTGTGTGTATCATTATGAATGTGCTTTTATTGATTTGAATTTAGAATAGGTATTTATATATCATATTCATCACTTCATTTATAGGAATATTTGTTAAGTGTATTGTTTCTTTTTTTCCTCAAAGGTACTAGTACCCAAACATAGTGACTTCATGGGTAAAATGGTAGAAGTTGAGATCATTGAAACTGGCAAACACTACATGAAGGGACGGCCTTGTGAAGCATCAAAACCTGTATCGCCAGCCATATCAGAACCTCTGCCAAAGGGCAAAGTGTCAGGTTTAATTGAAACTTCAAAGGACACCCTCGACAGTTCTCAGAGGAATCAGCTGAAGGAAGATCTTGCCAAACAAGAGAGATATATCATATTGAGCTTTGTACTTCTTATTTCAGCACTTCTAGTCAAACTTGCATGGGTGTGTTTCAAAATGGTAAAGGATGTTTCTATGTGATAAAGTTTTATACATTTGAA